GCAAACTTATCATTCAACTTCCTCTCCGCAAGTCGACCGGGAAATGGAACCGGCCCATCAAGATTCCTACCCTCACTAGGAGTTGAAGTTGTATTCTCATCTTAAGCTTCTTCTTCTCCATACCTCCTTCTTTCTCAACAACCTTCTCTTCCTCAACTTTCTTGTATTCACCCACACTCTCTTCTCCTTCCTTCTTTTCCTCACTAACCCCCTCCTAAGGACCTTCATAGGATGTACCTAATCTCAATGTGATTGCCTTGCAAGAGTCGGGTTTTATGATGTTGGGCGGGTTAGTTTATGATTGTCCGGGTAGAGTAGAAGGTGAATTGAAAGGGACTCTCTTGGCCAATTGAGCTAATTGTGAATCAACCATTTTGTTATGAGCCTTGAACTCTTGCATTTGTTGATTCATGGCTTGAAGTTGTTGAAGAATTTAGGTTTGTGTAGAATCGGGTTGAGATGCTTGCTCTTGGCTCCTTTGAGACACTTGTTTTTGATTGTTGTATTGGTTTTGGTTATTGTGTTGGTTGTTTCTTGGGTAGTTTCCTCTTGGGTTTTGGTTTTGAAATGGAGGTGGGTTTTGGTATTGAAGGTTGGAGTTGTATGATTGTTGAGCTTGTTGACTCCATTGTTGAGGTTGGTGTGCAAATCCGGGTGGTGGTTACCTCCAAGCTACTCCACTGCCACTTCCCCTATATCCATCTTGCCTTGTGTTGTATGCCGCCACATGCTCGGGGCTCAAACCTCCACAATAAGATGTATCATAGTTGGTACCACCACAATTTTGACAAGAGAAAGAATTGACTTGAGAAGAGCTTGCCCCGCTATTAATACTCGTATTCAACTTTGCAAGCCCTTTTGTCAAAAGCTCAATTTGATGTTGCAATTGATCAACCTTCTCCAATTCATGCATCCCACCTTTCTTTGGTGCGTTCCTCCTTATACCACCCCAAGAGTAGCTCTTCGCTACCTCTTCAATTGTTGGTTCAACTTGATTTTGGGGGATCTTAATCAATTTTCCACCCGCCCCCGCATCCAAGTTAGCTCTAGACATAGGTTCCAACCCATCTTAGAAGAATCGCATGAGCAAGCTTTGATTGTATTCATGGTGAGGACATGCTTGTACCAACTCCTTGAACCTTTCCCAAGCTTCACTAAGACTCTCATTCGCTTCTTGTTCAAATGATGCAATCTTCCTTCTCATTTCGGCGGTCTTTTCTTTGGAAATGAACCTCTTCAAGAATGCCTTGACTATCTCTCTCCATGTTGTAAGAGAATTTAGCTTAACTTCTTTGAGCCACTTCTTTCCTCTACCCGAAAGAGATACTCGAAATAAGTGCATACGGATGTATTCTTGAGAAACTTGATTGGTTTGAATCATGGCACAAATCTCAAGGAATCTATCAAGGTGCTCAATAGGATCTTCACTTAGAGAACCCGAAAATTGTTCCGCTTGTACCATTCTAGTGTATTGAGGATGAATGGTAAAATTGGTTTCCATGATGGGTAGCAAAATCCCTCCCGTGAGCTCATAATCCTCCGGATTCCAAAACTCACGAAACAAAACATCATCTTCTTGTCCCGCCATTGCCTCACTTTGAGAATTCGAAGACCAAGAATCACTCTCACTCTCAACAATAGCACCAAGACCTCGCCCCTCTTCTTGATAAAGCCTACGGACTTGTCTCAAAGTGTGGTCGATCTCATGGTCAATGTAATGAGTAGGTGGTCCTTGAGATCTCCTTAGCATCCACCAAAGCTAAGCAAACGATTAGCAATGACTAGCAAGAGAGTAAAGGAACAAAATGAAAAGCAACAAATCCAATAACAACACAATAAGAGTGCAAAACTAGCCGTTTCCCCGGCAACGACGCCAAAAATTTAATCGGCGGACAATAGGTCGTGTTTACTATCCTAAATCAAATCAACAATTTCTATTCCTAACCTAACTCTATCAAGTTTACACTAGATAGTGGCAAGCTAGGGTCGAACCACAAGGAAACGGGGTATTGCACAATCAAAGTGGAATTAAGAATCTATTGCAAGTAACAAGGGGTATTTTGGTTTGTTTTTGTGAATATCTAAGATTAAACTATCTACCAAAAAAGGATTAAAATAAGCAAAATAAGGAGTTGAACTAGAATCACTAAAATAAAGATGAAAAAACAAGATTTTTAAGGGAAATATGATAAAAAAAAAAACACTAGGGAGAGGGGGCTCCAATCATGATCAACTAAGACAACTATGATAATCATTATGGATATATGCCAAGGAGTACAAACTCTACTCAAAATAATTCATTCTCATGCAATCACTCAAAGCAAGTCGATGAAATCAATCAAACCTAAACTAGATCATTCTCATGCATCTAATGTAGAACTCAAATATTGGGGCTAGAGGTGCACAACAATAGCTCCAAGCATTTTAAGCACAAACTCATCAACTCAAGGCAAAACCCAATCAATCATCAATATAAACTCAATCAATCATGATTTTCACCCCTTCCCTAGCTAGAAATCTAAGCTAGAGAAAAGAAGATAGTCATACCAACTATTCTAAACATGGATTCAATCCTAACAAAACTAAACATGATTCAAAACCAAAGCAAAAGTAATGAAATAAGTGAAAGCAAAGAACTTTACGGAAATAAACACTATTAAGAGCAATAAAACCAAACAAAAGATAAGGGGTAAAGAGATTACTACTATTAAGCTTGAAGGATTAAGCAAACATGGACTAGTTGCATTGAAAAGATGAAAACTTGAAGGTCTTGATTATAATATTGGAAACTTGAAGATTAAGCTATTTTCTCTCTCTAAAAGGTTGATATTCTCTCTCTACAAAATGTTCTAGATGGCAATAGAATAGTGAATGTCATGAAATTTCAATCCAAGGACTATTTATAGTCTCTTGATACAACAAGGGAACCGAGTGGAGGAGAGGCCTTTCCAGGAAGCTGTCGCGCCCTCTCCGTTGTGGGTACGTAGTTGGGAAAACCCAGCTCGCCGCACCCACGACCTTGACTGTCGCGCCCGCGGCCACTTGGGCCGCGCCCTCTCCTTAGGCATCTCCTCTTCTTTGTCCAAGCCACAATAGCAATTTCAACTCCATTGAGCAACTTAAATTCCGCCTACAAGTGCCTAGAGCTATCAAAACAAACAAACAAGAGATAAAAAGCAAAAGAAAAGATAAAAGAAAAGGAAAAACACGAGAAAGAACAAAAGTAACTAAAACAGAAGTAAAAATGGTAAGAGAAGGCACAAACAAGTGACAAATGAGGGAAATTCATTACTGAAAAAGGGTGAAATAGTGGCATAAACGCCACTCATCACCGGCCTTCAACACGCCACCAACACAACCCAATGTTGCCTCGCTCCTTCCTCACACCCACTCTTTTTCCGACCAGAACCCACCCAAAAACCACAACCCTGAACCCGACACCCCCCACTCCGAAACCTAACACCCTCCAAAACCTCCACCCTTGAAGCCAGTACACCCCGAAACCCCCACCCCTGACACCGACACTGCCCAAAACCCCCTCCCCTAACATCGACATCGCTTGAAGCCCTGACATTGGCACACACACCTTGAAACCCCCCTAACATCGGTATACCTCGAAACCCCCACCCCTAACACTGGCTGCGGCTGGGTTGACAGGGTTAAGTTTTAGGTTTGCGGGGTTCGGTGGTTGCGGCTGTGGGTAAAGGAAGGGAAGGGAGGGGTGGGCATAGTGGTAGAGGGGAAGGAGAGGGTAGAGGTGGGCAAAAAATCTGATCTGTAATCCGGTTGATCCGATCCGGAAAATTGGATATCCGATCTGGTTTTTTCGATTTCGGATATTTTGGATCGGATGACTGAAAATTTTCGAATCGGATTCGGATCACAAATCTAGAAAAATCGAATATTCGATCCGATTTTTCAATATAAAATAAAATAAAAAAAAAAATTAACTAATTTGCAACAAACTCCCACTTAGAATGTTAGCTCAAATTATAATTTAATACTGTATTTGTAATCTTGGATATTTATGAAGTATTTTTTTTTATTACAAGAAGTATTTTTTCGTTGCCTTAATGATCAAGTGAACCTTATTGCATCACTGTGCTTGAATTTGTTGCATTTATTTAATTTTTTTTATAATTATTATGAAAGTTCATAAAATATAAGACTTTAATTTAAACAACTCAAATCAGGGGCATTTTACCAAAAGAAAAACCAAAATTTCAATATTAGTATGCGGATCGGATATCCGGTTTTTTGGGATCGAATTTGGATCGTAATTTTCCTGATCTGAAATTTTAGGATATCAGAATTTTCGAATCGGATCGGATCAGATATCCAAAATGGCCAGCCCTAGGAGAGGCTGGCTAGGAGAAGGAGGAGAGAAAAAGGAGGTTTTTTAAAAAAATTATTATGGTTTTTTTTTAAAAATAATTGCCATTATTTTTTTAAAATTGAATAGAAAAAAAAAAATTACCTGGCCTAATAAAAAAGAATGAGGTATAAAACTTGGATTATTCATGAATAATCAAAAGGTTGGATTATTAAAAATAAATCGAGCACAGGTTGGATTATTTAAATCAAACTCCTACCTTTTATTATATATTTGTATTAATTTGAATAACCTATCTTTTATTATATTAAAGTTAATAAAATTGCATGAAACTATATAAGATCAAAATGTACACCGGAACACTTATTTTAGTTTTTAAAAAAGGGACTACTCCTATGCTAAAATAAAATATGTAACATTCGGTAACATAATGCGCATCATACTCGTAAAAGCATATTGAGGTGTTAAAAACCAACCTACCAGACCCAAATAGAATAAATTCATATTTCAACTTGTATAGACTCAATAATTAAACATGAGTCAAATTTAAAACAGACTCAACTTAACCAAATCCAACCCAGACTCAACCCAACTTTACCAAATCCAATCTAGACACTCGAATGGACAACACAAGCATATTAGCATAATCCAAGTCGTGTGTTATGACACTTTAATCTTTCTCAAACCTCAAACAAGGCATCTTCCCCTCTCTCTCTCCATCTGTCGTGCTCCTTTTAATCTCATTTATATATTGACTTCAGAATTCAGGAGCCCTAATTCTTCTAATCTCTCTTTTCTCCATTTCTCAGTCTTTCTTCCTCAACTTTCCACCGATCTGAGTTTTCTTCGATTTGATCTGAGTTGAATCGCCATGGATGAAGAATACGATGTCATAGTCCTTGGAACTGGTCTCAAGGAATGCATTCTCAGTGGTCTACTCTCTGTTGATGGTCTCAAGGTTTTCAGTTCCCCTTTTTTCTCTCAATTTTGGTTTGATTTCGTTCAAGTTGAACCATCGATTGAATTATTGAGATTTATGTTGATAATTGGATGATTTAGATGTTTAATTGAATTGGGTTTTTCTGTAATGGTGTGTTTGATTATGGGATCCCTTGATTTTTTTTTGAATTAATTTCTTGTTTAGGGCTTTCTAAAATTGTTGTTGTTTTGATGCGTTGGCTAGGGTAATCTGTTGAATCGGATTTTATGATTGTTATCTTTGTTGATTGAGTGATAGCTTTGAAATAATGTAGGGTGTTCTGAGAGCTCAGTATCCTATGATTATTGTTTGACTGGGTTGTGTTTTTAATTGCAGTTATGCTTAGTGGTTTAATTGGTTCACTGATAGAATATGTAATGTGTTAGACCCTATATATTGTTGTCATTATCAAGAGAATTTCGCTGATTAGTATGATAAAGGGTTTTGATCACCTCTGAGCATCGACGATTCTTGGTGAGAAGATAGAACACCGTATGTCGTATTGACCATTTTTCATTATAGATGTAGCTCAGCCTTTGTGCAAAAGATCAGATTTTTATGGTGAGCAAAGACTTAAAAGTAAATTGCCATTGATAAATGATTAAATGCAATATGCGACATTCTATAGGTTACCCTCCAGCCCCTGCTATGGTTATAGGGGGAGAGTTCGGATGGGTGGCAAGGTTTGGTATATAACTATATATGGTGTTGTACTTGAATTCACGGAATGTGCATATTGATGAAGAAATCGTTCCATTTAATATTTGCGTGAACCTCTTGATCTCTCGTCTCTTTCTTTCTGATCAACCTTTTGAAGGTTGCCATTGCAATTGGAATGTGGATGTAGATTGCATTGTAAAAAAAAATTACACATTGTTGAGTTTACTGATATGCCTACTTCATTTTCTTTTCCTCTGCTGTATCCTACTTTGACTTGCCTTTCTAAATGTCAATGACTTGATTTGGCTAATTCTTTCATTCAAGTCAAGGCTCTCATAGCTTCATGACTGAATTGGGAGTGTATGGTGCATTTCACTAGCTCTGCAACCTACTTATATCAGCATAGTAAAACAGTATCGATTGTGATTAGTCACCTCTTATGAAGGGCATAAGAGAGCAACCTGATTAGGTGATATGTGAGTGATAAACTGCAAGTATGGGAGCCTTCCATGACCAATGCATGGACAGTTGTAGGAAAAAGAAATATTCTGGCACAATACCCATGTCAACTGTAAAAGACATAACTTCATCTTAAAAGACATAACTTCATCTATACTATCTTGCGTATCTGAATTTTTCCTAGTAAAATTGTTGCCTGAAATTTTTAAATGCTTTCCTGTACAAGTGGAAGGATTGGGGAGTGTCTAGGTGCTCCTCAAATAGTGTTTAGGCGGAATGTGGGTTTAGCCACTGATTGAAAAGAAATTCAATACATGCTAGGCTAGGGGTGTTGCTCTATAAATGTGAAGTCAGACACTGTCAGTGAAGTTTTTACATTAAGACTCACTCTGCATATATCCCTTGCGCATTAAGAGAGTGTATCTTCATATTTTCGTTGCTCAGAATCCGCAATCAGCTAAGTTGATGTACAAAAGCACTCGATATTTTATGTAATCAGCTGGAATGTTCTTGCCATTTAGTCTTGCACTTTATTCCCTGTGTTAATTCTGCTTATTTAGGATTTTGATAAGCAATAATTCATGATTCAGGTCCTACACATGGATAGAAATGACTATTATGGAGGAGAATCAACTTCACTTAATCTCATTCAGGTTGGTATTATACTGTTCTGTGGAGTTTTTGGCTAAATTTATATAAATATTTTATACTAACTTAATTTTTTATTATTATTAAATTTTTTTTTTATATATATATATATATATATAAATGTAGCTTTGGAAGAAGTTTAGGGGAGATGACAAGCCTCCAGCAGAGTTAGGTCCCAGCAGAGACTATAATGTGGATATGATGCCAAAGGTGTTTAATGCTTATTATATTTCTCAATACATCTACCTGTGCTAGTCTCTTTGTAACTTCTATATTTAATTAATTTCTTTTTTTAACCTTTAGTTCATAATGGCAAATGGTGCTCTTGTCCGGGTTTTGATACACACAGATGTCACAAAATATCTCTACTTTAAAGCAGTTGATGGTAGTTTTGTGTTCAACAAAGGAAAGGTATGACTTCTCAATCAAATGCAGCAGCTGGTTTTAAGATTGGCCTGATGCAGGATTAGAAGAATGACCTTGATTTCATCATTCTATGACTCATCCATGTGATAGGTTCACAAAGTACCTGCTACTGACATGGAGGCCCTGAAATCTCCATTGATGGGATTGTTTGAGAAACGTCGTGCTCGTAAGTTTTTCATTTTTGTGCAAGATTATGTGGAGAATGATCCCAAGACACACGATGGACTGGACCTGACCAGAGTGACTACAAGAGAGCTTATAGCGTATGCTCTTTATCTATTCACTTTGAGATTATTTTTGTTTCTTTTAAACTCAATGCACACCTAATTAATACTCATGCTGATCTGAAAAACATTGCTGTTTTTTTTTTTTATCGATTCAATCATCATTTTTCTTACGATTCATGAAGAGCGTACTACTTATCTTACTTTAAAATCCTTTTCCCAGTTTTTCTACCTGTACTTCCATAGTTATTTTTCCATGGTTCCACCTGTCTTTTCATCTGTGTGCACGAACTTGCTAATTCCTTCTTAGTTTGCGTCACCATTTTTTTTATTATTATTTGTATTGCAATTTTTTTTTTTTTTTTTTTTTTTTTTTTGCGTTTGTGTATTGGTCAATGCTTAGACATCACACTTCCTTTTGCTGTAAGAATTTTAATCTAGCTTAGCTGGTTAAAGTCTTAGGGGGTGGTACCCAAGATTTTGGATCAAATTCCGTCTACATCATTTTCCTTTTTGTTCTCTATGCACCAAAAAAGAATTTATAAGTATTGTTAATGTGCTTTTGTGTCAATTTTTTTCTTTGGCAGAAAATATGGCCTTGATGACAACACCATAGATTTCATTGGTCATGCATTGGCCCTTCAAAGAGATGATCGCTACCTGAATGAACCTGCAATAGATACTGTGAAAAGAATGAAGGTGAGAATCCTGCTTGTCCATAATTCCATATCCTTCCTAGTATCTCCTTGATATTATATTTAGTGTTCATAAGCATTATGTTTTACCTTTATCTCTTTGGCTTCAGCTATATGCCGAATCTCTGGCACGCTTCCAAGGAGGATCACCGTATATCTATCCCTTGTACGGATTAGGAGAACTACCTCAGGTCAATTGACTATCTTATTATATTTTTGAAATCTGTCTACCTTTTTATCTGTATATATATGTGTGTGTGTGTGTGTTGGAAGAGGGGAGGGGGAGGGGTTTAGAACCTGATTGTGTTCTTGTTAAACTATTTTGACATGTGTGATATGTTGACTTTCTCACTCTTTATGAATTTCTTTCTTGTTTTAAATAATATGCATCTTTCCTTCAGGCATTTGCACGGCTGAGTGCTGTTTATGGTGGAACATACATGTTGAATAAGCCAGAATGCAAGGTATTTTTCCTCATTTTATGAATATTCTTTATGTGATATCATAACTAACATTGCTGCAAATTATATTTTCTAGTTGGGACATTGATGATTTTCCTTGGTTGTTAGGTTGAATTTGATGCCGAGGGAAAAGTTGTAGGTGTAACATCTGAGGGAGAAACTGCTAAGTGCAAAAAAGTTGTCTGTGATCCATCTTATCTTCCTAACAAGGTAATTACTGTGGATCATGAATTAGATTTTAAAACTTGCAAAAAAGTTGGTATTTCCTTGAAATTCGTTTCTTTTGGAGTTTTGGTAAAATAAGTATGTATTCCATTTTGTTTTCTAGTTACTTATGTAAAACTTATGAGTCAGAAAGCCTGCAGCCTGCTACCTGCATGATAATTGCAGTGAGAAATTATCGTAAACTCTTGCAATAGGAGGTGTTATTATTCTTTAAATGGATGGAAATTTTTTTGTTGTCTGAACACTACTGCTCCATTCTTTACTTTGTTTCTGGATTTTCTGTTATTCACATATATTTATTATATTTTTTTCCGTTTTTGTTTGTGTTCAGACAAGGAAGGTGGGAAAGGTTGCGAGGGCTATTGCCATTATGAGCCATCCGATTCCTAACACAAATGATTCACACTCGGTGCAAATTATTCTGCCCCAGAAGCAATTAGGTCGTAGATCTGACATGTAAGTTTCATATCTTGACAAAAAAAGGTTCGATGACTAGACACTTATATAAATGTGTTTTTGACTGTGAGAGATATAATTATGGAAAGGAATCAATAGAATAATATTGTGCAGTGAGATGTCAAATAATGGTGTTTGATGGTCAAGAAAAAAGGTTCAATGGTTCTACCTGTTTTATTAAATGTATACACATTTTGGTTTTATCTAGCCAATAAAAAGTTTGTAGTAATTGCAATTAATATAGCTCAATGTCTTCAAATTATACATAACCAAGAACTATGTACCTTGCCCACTGATATAATACGTAACACAGCCAGGCTGCTATAATTTCTTCAATTTTGCCATTACTCAATAACTGTTTAACATATTTACGAATTTGCTGTTACAATTTACCTGTAAGATCACTAATCTATCAGTTTAGTTGCTTTATTAGCCACTTCTAGCCAAGTTAATAATTTGTTTACGATGTACCAGAATTTTCTTTTATAATTGTCGGGTTCCTCATCTACTATTTATACTATCAATGTTTGATTTGGTCAACGACAAGGAGAAAAAGGTTACTACTTGACACGCATGGGATGATAAGCTGTGCAATTCATCCAATGATAGTCTGCTTGATTTAGCTGCTAGATGGGCAGACATTGGATTTGAGGCCTTCTATGGTGATTGATTCACCAATATTAATAAACTCCATTTGCAATTTTGCATATTATTTTAACACATTTAACTCAACCTCTTAAAACTTTGTGTTGGTTAGTGTTGCACTTCAGGAAAAAAAATAAAATAAAAAATGGAGTATTTGTTTGTTTGGATATTGCAGCTAAGGGTTTGAATATCCTGGTTTGACTGCTATATCAAAATTTATTTTGATAATCTTGTATTGTGCGCAACTCTGCTGTAATCACTGTTATAAACGTATATGTAGCTAGATAGATGAGTGGTGATGGATTATTTGCTATGTAGATTTTATAACTTGTATGGGAAAATATGTTTGTGAATATCTGCTGCATTACTTAATACTCTTGCTGAGGTTTTAAAGACTTTTAACATTAGGTTGCTTGCTTCTGTGCTGTTGTGTTTTTTACAGGTATGTCTTCTGCTGTTCCTATACTCATAATGTTGCGCCAAAGGGAAAGTTCATTGCTTTTGTATCAACAGAAGCTGAAACCGACAATCCTCAAACTGAATTGAAGCCTGGAATCGATCTTCTAGGCCCAGTTGATGAGATGTTTTTTGATATCTATGATAGATATGAGCCTGTCAATGAACCTTCTTTGGACAATTGTTTTATATCTACGGTAGAACTTTTCCCCTTTTTTGTGACTTCTTTCATGATGCTCATGTAGAATTTTTGGAATCATTAAAAGTTTAATTACTTGCTTTATGTGATACAGAGTTATGATGGTACAACACACTTTGAATCCACTGTCACAGATGTGCTCAACATGTATACAATGATAACTGGAAAGGTAAAATGTTGAACTGTTTGGTATTACTTTGCTTCTCCTGCTGCCCTGCAATATTTGTTACTTTTTCCGTTTCATAAAAAAATAAACACTTTGCCCAAAAAGCTCTCACATTTTTAGTAAAGTGTTGCAATTTTTTTGAAACGGTGGAAATATTTGTTTATCGGAAGCTAGATTGTTTTGCAGTAATTTAATTTTTATTTTTTTGTTTTTTTGGTTCCATAAACTTGAATGCCTTCATATTCATGGTATCAATCAAAGATTTTACTTACAGGAATGATGGAACAAAATTACAAAGAGTAGAAATCATTGTTTAATAAAGATGTTGAGTGGTGCAACAATTTTAAAACATAGTAGTAAATAGCCCTATATTATTAGAGGAAGCCCCAATTTATCTTAACGATAAACAAAAATTGTTTATCTAGTGGCATTTCTGGTTGTTGATTTATTTACGAAAATACCTCTAGATAATTTTTTTTTTTTTTTTTGTTTATCATGAAGATAAACTTGTATTCTCGTATTATTACCCACCCCTCGCCCCCTCCCCTCCAGAATAAAAATAAAAAGGACAAAGATATAGTAAAAGCCATGACTGTAGTAGGTTATTTACTGTAAAGAAAACTTCTTCCTCCGTTTCCTTAATTATGCGTTGATATTAATTCAACAACATTAACTGAAGTATTTTGAATGCTGTAAAAGTCGTGCAATCATGAGTAAACAGATGAAGTATATACTTAACTATATTCTGTAGTATTTATTGGTTTTCTAAAATTAAAAATAATAATAAAATTGGGACAAACAGAAATGGATGTAATTTGACTGCATGTGTGGGATGGTTGTTAAAATCATGACTGGATCATTTATTCAGGACTCGCTAATTTGAGTCAAGGGATTTAGGCACTATTCCATATAAATTAAACTCTTGTAAGAATTTTATCTGATTAGGAGTTGTGTATCTAGAGACTTCCTGATGAGATTTGTTTAGTGTAACATAATGCTATTTTAAATTCTAGAAACTTCTGTGTATACTTATTCCATTCATATCTGTTGTGCCTAATATATACCTTTTGCTCTCTGAAAGCTGTATTTATTTGCCTCAGTTTGAATGATTACTGATATTTAATTATTTTGAACTACAGGTTTTAGACCTTAATGTGGATCTTAATGCTGCCAGTGCAGCTGAAGAGTGAAACTCAGTTTAGCTGTGTGAACGATGTATTGCTCCTTCTGTTCCTAAACATACCAATCTATCTTCTGGGGTTTGTGGCTTGTGCCATGAAACTCGTTGGATCAACATGTAATAAGTTTGTTGCTGTGTTATGAATTTTAATGCGCAGGGAGAACTAATGTTGCTGTGCTTCTCTGTTGGGCTGTTGGTGTTGGATGACTGAAAATGTCCTGTTCAGTTTTTTTTTTTTTTTTTTTGGGTCCTTGTACAAACATGCTTTCCTGATAATTTAAATTTAGAGCACGATTCACATATTTGGTTTGGAATTCTTTTGGTAAACTTTTGTGGCAAGTAATTATCATAATCGCGATTAGGTATTTTATTAGTAGTGTGTGATCAAGGATCTTTAATTCGTATCTGAAATGTGTACTGGAAATTAGTTAGTTTTTGTTATAAAATTGTAAGGGTCAAAGTGGAAATGAATTTAAACAAAGTAGAGATATATACTCCCTCTGCCCACGGTTATCTGCACCAAACGTCCTTTTTGCGGACTCCTAGGCAAAATTTTTAGTGGAGTTTAATTAAGTTTGGGTGGGTTTAATTAAGTGGGAAAAAGGAGGGAAAGTAATGGTCTCTTATTTTTTTTTGTTTTTGGGTGGGTTAAAGTGAGTGGGAAAAAAGTAAAAAATTGAGGGCCTCCTTTTATAAGTGGGGAAAAGGTGGAAAATTGAGTGTAATTAAAAGATGTTAAATAAAGGATGTTAATAAAGTTAAAAAATAAAAGTAAGGGTAAGGTGGTATTTTTACTCTTTAAAATTTACTAAAAGAGGAAAGAAAAAAATTTGTTACACATAATAGAGAGCACTCATTTATAGCAAATGTTGCAGATAATTGTGGACAGAGGGAGTAGATAAAATGTAATGGTTATAAACTTATAATATAAGTAGGATAGTTGGAGGGTTTATATGTTGACGAGGACTTGCTCCTGGTGGTGCATATGGCATCTAAAGGGACCATCGAGGAATGTAGGTGTACGCCTTCGCTAACCAAGGGAGCTTCAAATTGTAAATATCTCCCTCCGAAATTTTACTCTAATTTACTGAAAGAAATATTACTTACGATTTTGAATTTTATATAGGTGCAATGAAGGAATTTCATTGTAAATCAAAATTAAAATCAAACATACAAGAATCAAGACGTCATCACTCATTTATTGGGCTATGGTACTACTACTAAAACCTCAATTGATGAGAAAGAACAAAATTACAGTTGAGAGAGGAACTTTGCAACTAACCATTGCAAAACAAAACATATAACTAATCAGCTCACTTGGACTATGATGATATAGCTGAACATCCTCTCATTTTTAGCCTTTTTGGCTATGGTTTGAACGAACCAAGTTCGGAAAGCAAGTCACTCCCTGCTTTAGCCTGTTCCGAAGGTAAAACTTTGGTATATAATTGGGCCTGTACAAAACTATCCGAAAATCCAATAATCTGATCCACAATCGATCCGAATTTTTGGATATTCGATCCGAGTTTTCATTTCGGATCAGATATCCAATCCGAAAAAGCGGATATCGGATACGGATTTGGATATTGATTTTTAAAATTTCGGGTATCTGATATACGAAATATAAAGGCTGAAATAGTGAAATATATATATAAATTTTTTAAATTGTTCATATAAAACTGATCTTTTATCATTAACTTATTATAAATTTATAATATTCTTAATATATTTGATGATAATTTTTAGGAAAAATTGACAGGAATAATCTCAACTTTGCTCAATTCGCTCAAAATAATCCCAACTTTGGATTATTTTTTAATAATCCGAACTTTAATGTGAATTTTCTTCTAATGGTCCCAGGTGACCTATAACCGGTTAAAGAGGTAATTCTTTTTTAAAAGAAAATTAACTTACACGTGTCACCACGTGATTGGTCAAAAATACTAATTAACACTTAAAATAAATTATTAGTTATTAAACAACACTTAAATATAACTAATTATTTAAATATAATTAAGAAAAACCACCACCACCAATCAACCTCCCTGCCCTCTGCCCCCATCCCCTTCGCGCCCAGAACCACCAATTCCCCTCGCCGGCGCTGCCCCTCCCCTAACCCCTGCGTCGCCACTTAACCAACACGAAATCCCTTTTCCCTCCCACGAAATCCATTAAATCATCATCAATGAATTTGAATACGTACTCAAAATCATCACCATAACCATCAACATTAAGAAGCCCATTAACAAATTCTTCTTCCTGCACATCTTCCTCCTCTAAATCAGAACCAAACCCTTGAAAAATATCTTCTGGAACTTCACCAAAATCAATGGCTATTTGAGCAAGGGTTTGTGCTATGGTGGTTTAGGGCCGACGCAGGTTTAAGGGAAGTGGAAGCACCGGTGAGGAGAATCGGTGGGTCTGGGCGCGACCGGGGAGTGGGTACCGGAGCGCGAGAGTTACGTTGGGCGGGGGACCGGGGGTGGGGGCAAGGACGGTGGTTGGGTTGGTGGGTTTTTTTTAGTTAATTATTTTTTTTAATTTAATTTATGTATTATTTTGGCCAATTACACGTTGACACGTGTCAATTAACTTATTATTACAAGTTAAAAAACCGGTTGGGACCATTAGAGAAAAATTCACATTAAAGTTCGGATTATTAAAAAATAATCCAAAGTTGGGATTATTTTGAGCGAATCGAGCAAAGTTGAGATTATTCTTGTCAATTTTTCCTAATTTTTATTGCAAAAGACTATTATTTTGTTAAAATATGTTGTACAACTTAGCGATAAAGTGGTAAAATTAGTGAAATTTAGAAAGTAATCATAATAAATTTTACTTAATATTGGATAATGGATATTCGAAGCATCCGATCCGAAATTTTCGGATCAAATTTGGATATCAATTTCTGATATCCGAACATTCGGATATCCGATCTGAAATCGCATTTCGTTTCGGATCGGATATTCGATCCGTGTACGGGCCTATATATAATACCTCTCTTTTGTGGAGGCAATCGACATTCGGCTGGTGTGTATTACCAATCTCATCTCCTTTAACAAAATGTGCGAATCTCGTCTAATAATTTGGTTTGAAGTACTTTCTCCGTTTTTTTTTATTTGCATCACTTTCTTTTTATGGGTGTTTTTTTTAAATGCATCACTTCTAATTTTGGTAACTTTATACTATATTTTATCAATCTCTCTTACTTTAAACCTCACCCAAATTATTTTATCATTTCTCTTTCTTTCATGGTCCCCACTTAAATAATAAATATATCTATCCTCTCTCACATTCTTTCTCTTTCATTGTCCCCATCTTACTTTTACTATAATAATTTATTCACTCACTCACAATATTATATTACTCTCCTAAAACTCCGTGCAATCTCAAATAATGCAAATAACAAGAAACGGAGGGAGTAATAAGGATATCCAATTATCCATGTATTTTATAACATTTGTGAATTGCACGATTTTTCGTCCATGAATTAACATATACATTAATATTAATATATGGGTGTGTGGACTCACGGTATATATGGGTGGGTGGACTCACGGTGAAACAGACTCACCCAATACTTTGTTTAATCATATTGTCATACCTTTTCTAAATTTGTCAATATTTTTCTCGTATAACATAGAAAAAAAATTTAAAGCAATTAGGTACCTTAGAGACTTCTAAGTGTTGAAATTGTAACACTAAATCTAATACATAAAAATAATGAGACATAGGAAGGCATATAACACAAACATCCAAGCCCAAACCAGCAACTCAAACTCGCAAGGCTCGCTCCTTGCATAAAAAAGACAACTACCAAACCCTAACTCGACTAACAACCGGCAAGCAACCTAGCAAGGCGGCGACACCTGAAAAGGCCAAGAAGTCATAGTAAATCATCTAGCAAACCTCATTGATCCACGACTCCACCACGAGCACACACAGGATGTCACACCACGTAAAAGGCTATTTTGTGAAGACATCAACCATACCATAACAAAGAACAAACCCTCTAAACGTCCAAAAATTACTACATTGTCGGTCCATTGTTACTTAACATGATCATTTTCTAGTTGTATCTCTTTTATTGTCGAATCTTGATCGTGTTGCTTGTCAGTCATAGTAGATAGTCTTACAGCAGGCATAGACATAGTTCTTTTGGGTGTTACTTTTTTAGTTGTATCAGGAGCATGCAAAGATGTCGTCGTTTTTCTGGCCTTCTGTGCCCAATGTATTAGGCCTTCTTGTATGTAATCCTCGAATATCGCCTTGTTGAAGGAGCTTCCCATCTACACGTATATGTACATTGTATGAGTCAGCTAGGTAAAGAGCAATATTGAAGTATGAAAAACATTCATATTAAAATTGAGAAAAAAAGAAAGTCTACATAAATTAATTTGAGGTAGGAAGTTAAGTATAAAAATGAGAAATTTACCTGGGTAACAATTGCATAGAGTGGTAATGTGCTATAACTGCAGACAAATTGCACAAATGCCCTGCAAAAGCGTTAAAGAAGAGCATGTGAATAGTGTAAAAGTCAACATGGTGCAATGTTTTTAGAACAGAAGAAATATAACAATATAAAAAAAATATGATGTATTTAGAATGAAGCTAGAAATTCAAGTTAATTGATCATTACGCAATCACGAGTCTTGGTATGGTATAGCCAATTGAACCCATAATGCACGAGTCAAAACCATATTGTACCTGTAAAAAAGAGCATACTTTTTAATCATTTCTCTTTAATTTGAAATCTTCAGTTTTTTAAAAAGGTAAACAAGTCTTATATAAGATGGATTTATAATAAACTATTCATTGAGCCGTTAGAAGCTAATTCTAAATATAGAATAGTCACCCTACTCTCACAATAATTTGAAACGAAGGTACTATAGTCAACACGCCTCAGATAAGTTCAATTTTGTCTCTCACTCACTTGAAAGTGTAATCTTTGTGTGTTCTTGTCAAATGTGTGCAAAATAAACATGTTAGAGATGAACTTAACGAACCCAAATCCAGAAGAAAAACGCAACTTCGAAGGAGTTCTGAAACAAGATGATATGAATCAAGAGAAGGAGAAGCCGAGGTTTGTGAAACCAAAAGTGAGTGTCTGATGGATGGATTTCAACATTTCCATCAATTACAGAATGCCTTCGACTTTGAGCAACCTGCTTTGCAAGTTGGATGATTATGTGCTCCAATTTTGTACCCACGCAAAATAACAGCTGCATGTATAATATACCAAAGAAAAGTTAATTTAGTTGACATGGAATACTATTAGACTATATAACAACAAAATAAAACAATTGGTATGACTCCAACTATCGACGAGAAACTCCAAGCTTATAACGATCTCACAAATTCTTGAATAAGGCAGACTTTTATTAATTTATTGTAAGACGGATTAAAGTTACATACTCTAAAAAATTTTAAAGTTACCATATTTTAACATAAATTTTACCCTTTTAAAAACACTCATAATGTATTAGATAATCATATTAGCCTTTATAACATGCGTGTATCCATTAGAAAATACACAATAAATTATAATCAAAATCATTACAAATTAAGAGATAGCCTTAAATGGGTTAAAATTATTATGAAAATTGTTAAAGTTACCCTCAAATTGATCATCTTTCAATAAAATTAATAAGAGTCCGCCATATACAACTATACAATGCAAGTCTTATTGTGTAACTATATATATAGAATTTTTTTTTCCCTCATACAATCACTTACTATGAGTGGAATGAAAGCAATCCAGAAATAAACATGGTAACCTGCACATTGATGAAAACCAAAAAAATCATGTTAAATTGTGGAATTTTTAGCCTTTAATTAGTGTACGTAAACATTATATAATTGATAGAGTACGTAAAAATATAGAATGGAGCTTACCATTAACATTTAGAAACAAAAAGACCACCACAAATAACCAAAGAAACCAGCTGCAACCAATCAAATTAATGATTTGTTAAATAGATTGCTAGAAGCTATGAGAAATGTACTCCCTCTGTCCCTATTTTATTGCCCCATTTGACTATACACGGTCTCCAAGACGCGTCTTAAAACGTCTATATTTTTATGTCCATACACGTGAAAATTTTAAAAACGTGATATTAATAAAATATATAATGAGACGAATCTAACAAGATCACTCATGACTATATTATCGTTTATATATTAACGGTAATTTATGGTCAAAGTTTTCCAAGTTTGACCCAAAAAATGACAATGGAGCAAAAATAAAGGGATAAAGGGAGTAAATAAGAAGGGAGTTAAAAGAAAAAAACTTGGCAAAACATTATAAGAAAATGTATTTAACGCTTATATATTAGATCTATATATGTTGATTTTATCTAACATTTTAAAGTGAATAAAGTTAATTATACCAATCAACATATGTTGATTTTATCTTATATTTTAAAGTTAAAACGTAGTATTTGTATTAGTTTAGAAAATGTACCTAACACTTATATGCTAAATCTACGTATACTTGCACATCAATCTATTAACTTACCTAATTCCAACAACTCTCTTGAAGTCAGCTTCATAGGCACGAACCATGTACTTGTGAAAATTAAATTTGGGATTGCCCTTGCAATGTGTCTGCCAAACAAAATTAGCTAATTAAAAAAATAAAATTACTACTCTGAAATTTTAGGAACAAGTAATTTTTCCTATTATAAATAGGTAACTTGTGTATAAATAAGTAATAATTATTACAGTATTGGGGATTGGATGACATCCATTGAGATTTTGTGATCAAATTTTGGGAAAAAAAAAAAAAAGTTAACTGAAGAGTGAAGATAGTTACCATGATGAAGCCCATTCGCATAGTGATATAATCTGATTCTGTTACTGACCCATAATATTGTTTGAAAAATGCTTGCTGAAAAACAATGAAATTGTGACTAATTTAATAATATGAGATGGAGGAAGTATATATTGTAGCGATGTAGGCTAAGACAGCAAAGGGTTATCAATATTCGGTACGTACCACCCACCCTAGCAAAGTGTAATGGACTGCCCAAGAACGACCTTTGATAAAATCATGTTGCTCTACGACTGTAATTTCATCTTTTCTACCTGCATAGAGTGCATACATTTAAAAGTAGATTTACTTTAAGTAATAAAGTACTTGTAATATAAAGCATTTAACCCATAATAATATACTTCTATGAATTATTGCATTAGTTTTTAATACTTAATTATTATTGGCATGTAACTTGTCAAAAAAATTACAACTAAGAATATTGATGATGAAAAATTGGTAAAAGCCATAAAAAGATAAAGAATAATGTTAATTAGCAAGAGGAAGTAAATTAAGAATGTACCATGTTCAGGATCAAGCTCCTTTTTGTGGATTAACTCTTCCCACGTTTGCCATTGACTCTTTATCTACAATATCAAAATTGGATAAATGATTAAGAATATGAATACTGTTTTTTTACTGCCAAGATTTTTTAAGAAAAAAATTAATATAAAGGACATTAACTTTTTGTTATAAATTTTAAATTTATAAATTAATAAAAATAAGTGATGCTAAATCCATAGTATATCATCAATTAAGACTCCTATAGTAGCATATATTAAATTGTTAATTCCATTAATATTTGTCTCTACATCTACTAGATTTCTTCTATTACACATGTTACTAATATTGTTTTAGTCAAACTCTTACTTTTGGCGTACGTGTTTTTATTACGCTGGAGAACACTGTGTTAGTATATAGTTATAGACTGATACGATACATAAGAAGATCTCCTACAAAGCATTACATACAATGAAAAACATTTGTTCAACTATTATTCCACAAGATTAATTAATCTAATAAGGATCTTGCTAACGAACACCCCTGAGGCGTTAGATAAGCATTTAAAATATTTCCTAAAGTGGTATTAATTTAGAAACGCATGCTAAAATCACGCGTCAATCGGTGTAATTAATGTTCATTTTAATTCAATATTTCTACTTTTAGTTATCTTATTCAACACCCGGAGTCGTTTGTTAGCTTTTGCCATCTAATAAACCCTTGAAGAATGTAAAGAGATCGAGGAGGAATAACCTTAAAGCCGCCAAAGAGAACAGTGAGGGCGCACATAATCACATGGACAACAGCTAATACAAATATGAATATGTGCAAATGATGCAGCGCTGTTACTGATAACAATGGAACTTTTCCCTGCCAAAAAATTTATTGTAAGGAAATCATTAAAGGAAAAGAAATTGCATGTATGCATATTTTGCAATTATATTAATGTGCATTTGTGTTAGACTGTTAGTTGATGATACATACGGAGTATTAATTAAACTAATTGAAGGAATTGGATTCTGATTTAGTGATCTTTACTTTTCAAAGGATATGATTGTTTATGCTTTCTTTAATAGCTTTACACATTCATCGTTAAATATATTCATATATACTTGTACATGATTAATTACTATATCAAAGCTTTCTTGCTTGTTAAGTCATAAACTTGGGTCAAATACTACCTCTATTATTTGCTCTTAAATGTGCTTTACACTTTGAAATATAATGTCCAAAGTTTAAAAAAAATTAAGTGTGATATTACATATACATTTCAAAATGTGGTCAAGTAATAACTTGTTAGATTTGTTTCGATATATATCTTACACTTAATTAACAGTATTAATAGTCAAAGTTGTAAATTGAGTATTAATAAAAGTCAAAAAGAACTTAGCATTACTTTGTATTTTATACTCATATTACTTTAGTTACATAATTTGCGAGTTGTGGACTATATAATCTATAGTATATTTTATATTTTGTATTTAACAAAATCAACTAATTGGTTAATTGGCTTTGACCCTAAAATATGTAATGCGGACACAAAGAACTTATATATTCTTAAATTATTTCAAAATTTATTCTTGTCAAAATCAGAGCATTCACATCATTCAATTTTTGTTTAATCATTAATAGATATCTTTATTTGCATATTAATCAAAAGTATAAAAATTACATACTCCATAATATAAAAAGTACACATTGAGCCGATTCTAACAAATTAGATTTTATAATGTTTTATATTATATAAAAGTGTAAAAATATGATTAAACCGGGCTAAAAAGAGTCAACTAGGCTATACTTGACCTTAATAAAATTAGGCTAATAAACACCGTATTTCAAGTGAAGAGAACAACAAGTAGAGTCAGTAACGTACCTGTTGTTGACAATAAGTAGAGTCAGTAGACTCGGAGAGAAGATGACGCCAAGCTGCGTGAGTGTGAGGGACAGCTTGAGGTTCCTTCTTACAAGGAAGCCATTTATTTGCCAAATTATGGGAAATGCATAGTCTACCAATTCTTCCTTGGAATACCGTCAGCAGCAATGATATAAACCCCACCAACATCAATTCTGCATAATAATAGTCATAAATTTTGTAGTAATCCGTACAATTAAATAAATTTATGTAGTCAAAACTTGTCGTTTACAAACATGTATATACAAGCTAGATATGTAAGTTGAACATATAGTGTACAAAATAAGTGTTTTTGGAAAGTGATCGATGAATGAATGGTGATACGAAGTTTATAATGTGTAGTGTTACGGAGTAATATGAAGTTTAACATTTGTTAGCTTAGCTATGAACAAAATGGCAAGAGACATGATTATTAGTACCTTCTTTGATTTTTTGGAGGGCTTGATAAAGGGGTTTCTTGTTCGACTTCTTCAAGTACTGAATTAAGAACACCAAACAAGAAGTATAAATGCAAGAAAAATTAAAGAAGTATTAGACAAATAAGCACAATTAATATTTATTATTATACATTGATAGGCAACAATTTTGTACATTCATTATGAGCACCTTACAAAGTTACAAATATAAGATCTTTAAACAGTCATGTAATTATTCCTTAGGAAAAAAAAATGGAACATTTTGTTGTTTCGAAAGAAAAATAAGACATCTTACTTCGATTTGATGATTATCAAAATTCGATAGTACAAGTTAAAGTGTAAACAAGGAAGATATCGAATGTGCATACCTTGCCGGTGAAGTGAATTAACCTCTCGGCGGCCAAAGAAATGAGGACGAAAACCATGCATACGATTGCCACCACCCATGATGGTGTCGATTGCAAATTAGTTTCTCCTACTCCACCCCCACTCATCTCTCTAGAGTTCTTTCTTTAAAGATGACAGAAAAAATGATCAAGGAATTTGAGTGAGGAAAAAAATGTATGTATATATGAGTAATAAAGTGTTATTTCTTTATAATAATGTACGTATCATTATGAAATTATCAATCATACAAAAAAAAAATTGGAATATTGATGAGTCTTTTGACTTTTACTTTTGCAAAGTAACATTTTTGGTTTTTTAATTTACATGGAAGAATATGACATATAATTCATATGGACATTTCATTAAACAATATAATCTTGAGGTAGTGTAGCTTTTATAGTTCTTTCTTTTAAACTTCGTTGTTGATCAAGGTGTAATTTGATCCCCCTAAGTTTTATTGCCCCTTAATTAAGAAATATTGAAAAAGTTGTAGTACCATCAGTGTCTATTAATTGGGATTACTAGATTATAAATGATTACATATCAATTATTTTTACTATCAAGGCCTTAAGATTATGGTCAGTTTTTTTAAGCAGATACTCGTATATGCTTATTTCAGAAATATTTGCAGTCTAATTAACACAGCACCAGTTACTATGCAGTACCTCTTCGTGACTGCCACATTACCTGTGGAAATTTACGACAAACTAGTTGAGGCCTTCCGAGATAGTGAGGTGATCATGGGTCCTGGAATGCACCGGACAAGCTCCGGCCTTGAAGAGGTGCGTATTATACTACATTCATTTTGAAACAACCTCTTTGAATCTGTTACCTGACATTACTTAAATTGTGCACAAGATGTATGAACTGATAAAACCTTAAACAAATGACAATGTGGTAGACTAAACCAGTTACTGTTGCTGAGCAGGTTCTTGTAGATTGTAGTGGGAATAAAGGTTCAGAAAAAAACCCCGGAAACAGCATTTTCCAATAAGAAATCTGCCCTTTTGAGGCTTGCAGAGGAGATTCTAGTTTCTAGGACTATTATATTCTGTAATAAGGTAATTTGGACTATATTCCATTCTGTGCACACTTGTGAATGATTTGATTGCTCTTACTTTCAGTCTTTGATATATGTAGATTGAGACATGTCGAAAGGTTGAGAATGCCCTGAGACTTCCTGATAGAAAGGAAAATCAGATACGAGTTTTACCATTTCATGCTGCTTTAGAACAAGAAACAAGGCTCATGAATATGAAGGAGTATGTACGTCGTGTTGGCAGAACAGCAAGAGGTGCAGGAGGTATAGGCAAGGCTTTTGTGTTTGTTGTTGGTAAGCAAGTTTCTCTGGCAAAGAGGATCATCGAAAAAAATGAAAAGGGTCATCCTTTACATGAAGTGCCTTCTGCTTATGAACTAGTACGGTGATAAGGCTCAGACAGAACTGCAGTTGTGACTAATTGTAAGGGTGTCAGGTTACTTCTGTAATTTTCAACCTGACTCGGACATTTTTGAGTTGTAAAATAAATTATAGTTATCATGGCTAATCATTTTATATTTAACAGAGTTATAGTTGTTATTAGCAGGAAATTTGATCTGGTAAAATGTATGAAGTTTTATTTATTTATGCATGTTGACAGAAGTAAGATATGCTAAAATATACAGTCTGTTAGTATGATGTTTTATTGATTCGTGAAGGTATACCATGGAGAGGCTAGGAGTGAGATTTTTCTCAAAAACACAAGGTGCCAATGTGCTAATGTAAAATGAGTCGCCAATGTGCTGGGTAAGTTGATAACGGTGGTGCATGGACGCATGGCAGTGATTTAGGAGATGCAAAACAGAGGGAAATAGGAGGTATAAGGACTCGATTCCATTAGCTAACCGTGTTAATCAAGGTGTGATTTTCCCCTAAGTTTATTTCCCCCTAATTAAGAAATTTTGAAAAGATTCAAATCTATTTGTTCATTTTTGTGGTTGATTTGTGCTTTATGCCTTTCAAGACTAAATGAAAATACAACCAGAATTTATTATACCATGTTGTGAACAGAATAGTTGGAAAGATAAAGTATATTGATTTGTGCTTTATGCGTTTCAAGACTAAGTGAAAATACAACCAGAATTTTTTATACCATGTTGTGAACAGAATAGTTGGAAAGCTCAAGTATATTGCAATGTATCAGTTATATATATATATATATTTAAAAAAAACCTACAATGGTAACAACTAACCTAAGCTTAATCCTAGAAATTAGGTATATACATGGACTAACTATAATAACAAACTAAGAATGTATATCCAGTAATTACAAAAGATATAGACATAAACATTTAGATAAATGATAATCCCCTGTATCAACGGATGCGACTTACATGAGCGAATGGCTCACGCGTCGCTTCTTTCTTAGGCGTCGCTTGGTCTGGATTGCCAAATACATTCCAGATTTGCAAGGTCTCGCCCCCTGCAGAAGCCACTGCCAAGCCATCAGGACTCTGTAACATAAATCCAGAAAATCAGTAAAATACAAAAAATGAGGTAACTTGAGAAATAGAAGCTGCAGTTCTCAATAAACCAAAAAAATTACCTGAGACATGAAAAGTATTCTGGACGTATGCCCAGAAAGCTCTGCCATCTGCAACATTGATGGATAATTCCACAACACTAAACTGTTATCGGGAAGCCCGTGTGAGCTCAGCAGCTCGTGCTCATTATTGCTCCATATTAAAGCTGAAACCTGGGATCCAGTGTTTACTGAGTTCAAGCATGCACCAGTATTAATGTTCCAGAATTTTATGCATTGATCGTTCATGCCTCCTCCAGAAGCCAGCATACTACTCTGAAAGGGACACCAAGCAAGGGCTTTGACTGTAGCAGTGTGGTTTTGAATCCTGTGCAGCCACTGAGTAGATGAATTTATTCTAGCCATTGATCGATCCCAGATATGCAGAAGGTTGTCGTTGCCTCCACTGGCTAGATATCGACCTGATGGTGACCATTTTAACCCACAAACTTCACGCCGGTGTCCTCTGTAAGTTTCAACTATATGACTCCTAACTCTCAGGTCATTGTTGATGATTCTACTGTCTGCTGATCCAGTAGTGAGAATTTTACTATTCCAAGCCAGTGAACAGATACAAGCTTGGTGGCCTTCCCTTAATGTTCTCAGCTGCAAGAATGAAGCAATAACAGTAAGAAATCAAGCCAAACATAAGACATATAAAGCAGATGAGAAACAAAATATAGCCATACAAGTTGGTTTTATTTACCTTTTTACTGGAAACGGAATCCCAGACTTAAACTTCAGAATTGTCCAAGCCAATGGCAATCAGACAGCCAACAGGTGCCCAACTCACACTCGTTATTGGGCCTTCATCATCAGATACAGTCACAAGATCGCGCACAGTATTTGTGGATGCATCCCACAGGTATACTGTGTTTTCAAGAGCAATGGCAAGAAAATTATTCTTACCCCAGTCCAATAAATTCAAGTAGTAGTCATCTATCAAGCCAGGGCAGTCTAATGTACGCTCCGAAGTCTGTAGAATTACAATTGCAAAGAAGCAATGATCAAAAAGGTGCAGGACACACTAACAATACAGTCATGTCATGTTGGCTCCTGTCATGTGATGTGACAAATTTTACACTGGCACTAATCAAAATCAATAGGCAAGTGCACTTGTGTAGTCTATGCAAGAGTTGGCGATTCCAAAGTTAAAGATGATATCTCATACCAAACATATACTGCATACAATCACATAGTCATAATACTTCGTATAAGAGATAGTATTTAGTGAATTCCTCAAAATATTGCCTCATATTTCCACAAGTCGAAAAACACACTCCTTAGATAAATTCATAATTTTATACTATGTAACGTTTTTGCTTAAGAATATTGGAATAATCACATCATACATACAAAAACTGATATTAATTCATAGTCGTTCATGATTAATTTTCATCCTTGAAACAATAGAAATAAGTACCAATTTTTAACTATAGATTGAAACAAATTGATAAGCAATTCCTAATTATCAACAGCACCAAAACAGAGCATACAAAATAAACATATCTTTTCATGACATACATGTCTACATATTATTTCAGACTCATTTCCACAACAACAGAATATAACACATAATTAAAAACATAAACAGAATTAAAGAGTACTTGTGTAGGCTAAGCAAGAGTTGGTGGTTCCAAAGTTAAATATGATATCTCATACCAAACATACTGCATACAATCACATAGTCCTAAAATAAAATATAGTATTCAGTGAATTCATCAAATTAATGCTGTCATATATTCATAAATCGAAAAACATACTCAGTAGATTGGATCATAATTTTATACTATGTAACGTTTTTTGCTTAAGAATATTGGAAAATTGTTGCCAATACGTGCAAATTTATCATACATTAAAAGCAAAAACTTGCACGTCATGATACAAAAGCAAAAACTTGCAAAATAAACTAACTTATTATAATTCACATCATACTTAAAACAATAGAATTAAGTACCAATTTAAACTATAGATTAAAACAGATTGATAATCAACAGCACCAAAACAAAGCATACAAAATAAACATATCTTTTCATGACATACATGTCTTATATTATTTCATACTCATTTCCACAACAACAAATTATAACACATAATTGAAAACATAAGCAGAATTAAAGAGAAAAGTCTATATACCTGAGGAACACGGCGTATTCGCCTTCGAAGAGACACAGCCTCCAAGGCAGAGGTGTCAAGGGGAAGTGGGGCAGGTGGTTTGTTACTGAAAGCAAGAATTCTAGGCCTGTTCATCCCAAACGCCTCCTTCAATCGCTTCCGGTACGCTTCCTTCAACGGCGAATACTGAAATTTCTCCTTCTCTCTCTTCTTCTCCTTCCACCCTTCTGTCAGCATGTAGTGCGCATAATCGAAATCCATACCTGATCTGTTTGGAATGAATCTATCCAACTCCAACTGATTTTTTTCAAACCATTCACAAAAACCCCAAAAAAAAACACAAATTATCAGTAGCTGTTAACCTAATTTCCAAACATAATTCATCCGACAATAATTCAAATTAAAAAAAGAGAGAATTTTGATTCTTACATTTTCTTTACTTCGATTACGAGCCAAATTGTAGCGAACGTG